CCAAGTGATGAAAATATCAGGGCCATCTCTGAAGCGCCAACACCCAAAAATTTGACAGAACTAAAGTCCTTTTTAGGAATGTGCTCTTACAACCTGCGCTATCTGCCGGATTTTGCGACTGTGGCAGATCCATTACGACAGTTAACAAAGAAAGGATCGTCGTTCGTTTGGGGCAGCAATCATCAAAATGCCTTTGATGAACTGAAAAGGAGAGTTGCGTCTGCTCCCTTAGTTGCCATTTTTGATGAATCTTGCCGCACCTTTGTGTCCACTGACGCGTCTGATGTCGGTCTCGGAGCTGTCCTCTCACAAATACAAAACGGAGAGGAGAAAGTTATTGCCTACGCATCACGAAAGCTATCAGATTCCGAACGTCATTATTCAGTTGGGGAAAAAGAAGCCCTTGCATGTGTGTGGGCCTGTGAAAAGTGGCATTTATTTCTGTTCGGTCGTCGTTTTATTCTGCGTACTGATCATTCAGCCCTAACAGCTCTTCTCAGCAATGGATCTAAAGGATCTCGCCCAATGCGAATCGATCGCTGGTATGCCAGGCTCCTTAACTACGATTTTGAAATTGTGTACCGGCCAGGTTTGCAAAATCAGATTGCTGACGGCCTATCTCGCTTACCCGTGGGGTTGGAGGATGAAAAAGAGAGACTCAGAGAGGCGGTACTAGTTTCCAGTCTCGGAGCTAACCTGTCTGCCTTGACGATCGAGGAACTACGAAGGGAAAATTCTAACGATTCTTTACTGCATGAGATTATTGAATATGTGCAGCAGGGCTGGCCCAAGAATAACAAAATCCCCGGTGAGTTCATTCCGTATTATGCAATTCGACATGAACTATCAGTGGTAGACGGTTGCCTGATGCGCGGTTCGGTGTTTGTAGCTCCGTCCCAGTTGATAGCCAAGATAATAGCTTGCGCACATGAGGGACATCCAGGTATAGTTCGGACCAAAAATCGAGTAAGACTCTATTTCTGGTGGCCACGAATGGCATCTAGCATTGAGACATTTGTGGTCAATTGCAATGCTTGCCGATTAGCGGACAAAAGTTCTTTGCCCGTTAAAGCCCCGACACAGCCAATTGCTTACCCGATGAAACCATGGACCAAAATCGCCATTGATATTATGGGCCCTTTCGCTACTGCTCCTACGAATAAGCGAAATCTACTTGTTGCTACATGTTTTTACAGTAGATGGCCTGAAGTACACATGTGCGACCAAGTTACTACTTCGGTTGTGTTACGTTGGCTTAAACACTTTTTCAGCCGTTTCGGTTTACCGCATGAAATAGTAACGGATAACGGGCCACATTTTTGTAGCCGCGAATTCGCAGATTTTCTACATTGCCATAACATTAAGCACTCCAGAACTGCGCCCTACAATCCTGCAGCCAACGGCATGGTCGAACGTTTAAACCGGTCTTTAAAAGAAGCTATACAAGCCATACACATAGGAGGTTCGGACTGTGAGGATGCAGTTTTAACTGCGGTTTTTTCCTACAGAACATGTGACCACAGAGCCACCGGAAGAACGCCAGCGGAGCTGATGCTAGGAGGGCCCTTACGCACAAAGTTAAATGCTGCGCATAACGTTTTGTCAGCGAGAGATGCCGAAGTTTCAAATCGCATAGCATCTTATCAAAATTCCTACGCTAAATTATCAACACCAATGCAGCCCGGGACATACGTTCGCGTCAAAAGCAGAGCAACAAAGAAAGGCACACCTTCGCTTTCCGCTCCACTGCGCATCGACCGTACGCTTGGCCCGGGCACCTATCGATTGGAGAACGGCCTAATTGTCAACGCGCGTCGACTCCACACAGCTCACGGACCAGCTAATCAGCCCGACCGATCCGCGCGCGAAGACCCGGCTGAGTTACCATTACCACGAAGCCAGCTGCGTCGGTCCGCGAGAACGGTGAAACCTATTGATCGCTACGAACCCGGTTGAGGCAGCTTTTCGGAGGGGGAACGATAATGTGGTAACCATGTCAGCAACATCGATTGGCTCGATCTCATTGGTTGGCTTGCTGACTCATTACTATTGGTTGTGTGCGTCTGTCGCTTGACTCTCCGTTTAACAAGGGATTGACTCAGTA